TCTTCTTTCGCGGGATAGAGAAAACCTGGACGGTTGCCTTTCAAATGGCACCGGAAGACGGCCCTCCTCATACGAAGGCAGCCTAGACAAGCTGTACTCTGATGTGGTGGTGCACAAGGAGCCAACAATTGACCGTCGGGTAAAAGATCCCGAAATCGAGGCCACCATGCATGCCACTGAGAAGGGCGAAACATTTACCAGGGAAAGCTATTCGAAGACATTTAACAAGGCACCGAGAGATGAAGACAAATACGGTCGCCCCTTTGACGAAATCATCGACCTCTTGAATTGGGATGTGGCCAAGAGTGCACGGACAAGTAGATATCTGCAACAATGTATGCTTGCCGACATTGAGGCTACAGAGAAGGCAGTCGCTGAATTGCCCTGGCCTGCTTCACATTCCCTGGTTGTCCCAGGTGCATTTGGCGAATGTGCAGTTAATGCACCGAGCAGTGTCCGTGGACGGCTTGATCACGACGAACATTCTGCGTACAAAGAAGACAGTGACAGTGAGGCGGCGAGTTTGCGAGAATTCGAAGAACTTTAACAGAACTGCGAGTTGATGGAGCCGGCCTGCAGGGCATAGCGTCAGAGCGCGTAAAAGCCGGCGGTTCGACTTTGAATAGCAGACCGTAAGTTCCGGATAGACAATCAGGCGGAGAATCTGAAGGTCTTCAATTATCTAGACGATCGGCGCATCCTGTCGATCGCGGGTGACAGCGGATGCCGCATAACGCTGACTGAGACTAATTTCAAGAGTGCTATGACTCAGAGGAATCAGTTGGTCCTCATCCACTCAACCGCGAAGACTGGCCTTCAAAAGTGTTTTTAACCTTTAGTATAAAAACATTCCTAAACGTCGAACCAGCTTCAAGTAAACATACAATGAATATAGATTATGCTTAATACCGACCCAAGACTACATAGTCCCTGCTAAGATCTTAGAAGTAGCCCTGTAAAAATTCGAATTTTACGGTTGTAAATTTATGCTGGAAAAAATTGTTTTCGGTCATTCCTCTTCTAGGCGATATAATGACACAGAGAATAAGACGGGCAAGTATATGCACCCCGAGGACCATATAAAAACTAAAGAGAACTGTGCATTTTATTCTCCATGTTATTTTATCGGCCTAAAGATGAATGCTCGAAAACAATTATTGGCCAATACGACCTTAATGGTATTAGTAGTCTGGATATAATCAAAATCACTGGTCGAACTGGCATAAGTTTTCCCAATAAAATATTAATAGAAACTATGAAGTCTTGTGTCCATTAAACTTTGCCCTAATACGCCAGATTAGCTTCTTTGAAATTTATGCTTGTTAGCGCCATGATGGCCTTATCTAAACAAACTAAGCAACGTAATGAACTTATGACAATATGCGCAGATAAATTTACCTGATATCCGGACCGCAGTAGTCAACGCAGGCTCTATTGTAAACTAACGGTTTTATGCACCTCGTAGTTGGGCAGATAGCGCAGGTGTGTTCGTCAGAGCACAATGATAGAGCAGCAAGGTAGCAGCCAATCCGAAGGAGATGCCCATCAACAGCGTCAGCTATTGGCCAGAATGACTAAGCAGTATCGATTTTTTCAGTGGGTTTAAAATACTAACTGTTCTCAAGATTGCAAAAGTGAGAGTTCCTGGAT